TTTGGCCTCTGTTCAAATCGTTTTACCGGCACGAAGACTTCGCACTTCGCGTTGCAACAGCTTTACAGCCAATTCATGGTTCAAAATTGCTTGACAAAAGATACATAAATAATATAGAAGATAATTTTATCTGTCTTATTATTCCATCAGATATTTTGTATTTAGAAATAAAGCATTGTAAAATAATTTCTGATTTTGTTATAATAAAAATGATATAAGTATCGTTTTGTGTAATAACATTGAATTATTGTAGGGTGCGTAGTTATTCGCGAGTTTGACTATTAAATGGTAGGAAACTGAAGGAGAGTGGGCAGAATTCAATCCACTCGGTAGTTTCATACAATTAAACATCGTAATTTAACTCCGACGCATGCTTTATGGCTCGGGAATCTCGAATTTCGCTCTGTGCGGTAAAAAATTATAAGCGAAAGTCGCTCGTCGGAAAACGCAGTATCGACTCGCTTCAGTTATACGTTTGCTTCGCCAGCAATGCATATACACTGTACTATAAGAAAACGTCCTAACAAATTCCTTGAATTCTACCACAGATTACTTATTTCAATCATTAACTTTAATAAAAACTTGGAATTTAAGTATAGTAGAAACCACGATAACTTTTTTATTTTTTTATTTTCTTAATTTTGTAATTTTCTAATAAGGCCTTCAGACAAGGCAGATACTCAATGGTTATTGCTTTAGTATTTATTGAAATATAATTACAGCTTTGGTTCAGGTTCAGTGCAAATAAATTGTCTTCATTCAATTTACTTTACCACTTGGACGTTTGTTTAATTGTTTAAACAGTTGAATTTTCAAACGTCAATTTTCCTAAACCGTTAATATATTTAAAATTTGACTGTTACCAGTCAAAGGAGCATAAAATTTAAAAATCTTGCAGGCAAGTGAAGCATGTGTATAAAAAAAAGTGTTCCATATTAGGGCAACTGACCCTACGTTGTAAACAGCTTTGATCGCCAAGTCGAAAATTGTCGAATTTCCGGGCATTGTCCTTCGTCGAGGTTGGGTGGAAAGCCATTGGAGGAGGCAGCGCGTACAGAGGGACCCGGCATCCTAGTCACGAGTTAACGGGAGTCTCGATCGGCAGACGGGAATCGATTCCGCGGCGCGTCTCGTCCCCATCGGCGAGACGTGCAACGTCCTTTGCGCGCGGTCCGCTCGAAGGACGAGGATCGAAAGGAAGGAACGCGTCTGACACGTGCTGAACGGTCCCTCCGCTCGGGGCCCCGATCGACGGGGTACCGAGAAACGAATAAATGCGCTTAGTCGTTGCACCGCCCAGCAGCGAGCCGCTTCTCGTCCATCTTGACGCGGAGAAAAAAAAACCAAAGACGGAGAAATCGAAAGGGGGGGAGAGAGAGAGAGAGAAAGGAAGAGGGTGAACGCGCGAAATACGAAGAAATCGAAAAAAGGAACGGACGAAGGCAGCGCTGCCAGGAAGAGGAGCGCAGAAAAAGGAACAAACGAAGAGAAAAAGAGGAAAAGGTGGGCTCTCGAGGAAGAGCAGACGAGGAAGGACGTACGTGGAAAGGTGGATACGGGGTAGAGAGAGAGACAGAGCTCGATGGAAGGGTTGGAGGAGGCAAAAAGGGCCACGGACGTAGTTACGTGCAGTTCGTTGCCAGACACGCTGGCCGAGCTTACGAGGAGCCACGGAGAACCGGCGGTTTCCGATTGCATTATCGCGCGGTGATTAATCGGTGCCCGAGGTGTTCCATTGTCTCTCAGGGACGTCTCGATTCTGGTTCCTCCGGCGTGTCCTGGAGTTTTTACGCCGTCGCGCAAAACCTCACCACCGGTCTCTACCTCTTTCGATCAGCCACCTACCTTTCTCTCTGCACCACCTTAAGGAACCCGTCTCGCGAAATGCCCACGTGCGCGCCGGAAGTCGTATCTTTCGACTCCTGGCTCGATCGTTCGTGCGGAGGGTGCTCGAGACACGGAGATTTTTTAACCCTTTGCGCTCGTATTTATATTTGAAAAGGCTACCAATCAACTCAGAATTTTTATAAGATCATATTAATACAATTTAACTTGTCGCTTTGGTAGAAAAAATTAGAAAAATACACTTTAATCTGCATCTCACTCCCTCTTGAATATCTATATAATATGGTACATAAATTATATTTTTCAAAATATTTAAAAAATAAATCAAATTAACTTCTAAATTGGAAGGAACTAATGGCTAACATAATGCTGTAGTATATCAAATATAATTAATCAGAAGCAGAAACTAAAAGAAAATACTAATGTAAATATGTGTATAATAATGGCGACATACGAGTGCAAAGGGTTAAATGTCCTTTGAATAAGGAAAATTTAATTTGATTTCAAGGTTTTAGGGGCCGAAACAAATTACGACTTTGCGCCTGGGAGACTCTCTTCAATTATCGTCTCGTTACGTGGATCAGCGTTCTTAATAAACGCGTACCAGATCTTAATCGACGTAACGATCGACGGTTAATCGTTAGTTGCCATACATGCTTGACGAATGAATTAGCGGCCAATCGTTCGCGACGATTGACGATTGACACGCGCATTAATGGTTCATTGTTCGCGAGCACTGACAATTAGAACAGTCGTTACTCGCTAGTCGTTCATCGTTGATATTTTTTTTCGCAATAATTGTTCCAGCTGCGATTCTTCACCGTGTGACTGTACAGCAAATTATACTCTGTTAAATATTTAACATTCAGTCGACACCACAGAAGACCACAGAAAAAAGTAACCAAATCATTTTGAAAAATTTTGAGGAATGTCAAAAAATAAAATATTAATTACTGTTTATATTTAATATCGAGATTGTACTTGTAGAGACTAAGCACGCTTGATAATTTCCTGAAAATAGTCTCGACGCGTGTATAAATTGTTTTCATCGACTCCCGTGGAGACATTTTCGATTCTTTCACCAGCGGTTGCCGCAACAACGAATCGGTCGGAGAATGTTTTATTTAACGTATACTTGCAATCGCGACCGGCGTTATTAAGTAATCCACTGGGACATTCCTTTATAACAACCGTTCAATGACGTTTATTATTACAGCCTCTTGCGGCCATAATCGCTTTATAAACGCGTTTTAAACACGCGCCTTTGTTACCGACGTCTGAGTTGCTCTTTAGCCGCGGTCAAAGAAAATATAAGGAAAGTAACCAGTGATCGCCTGCACGGATCTGTTGATATACGAGCACCACGTTTCAAATACAATCGACATTCCTGTACTTGTACGCGTATTGTACCCTCCAAAGCTCCTTTTGTCAGCGTGATTCATTTCCTATCCTGTTATTAAATTTTCTTGCCGCGTTCAGCCGACACACTCGACGCTCGTGCTCGATGAAAAATGTAAACTCGCTGTTATTATTCGACGATACTTGCTAAGAAGCTCTTATTCGGAAACATTCTCAAAAGGAATTTTTATCCAATAGACATGCTTGAGAAAAAACGCGCGAATCTTCAAAAAATTACCCATTCCCTCGAAAATTTCCGATGTTTATTTATTTTATTTTATTAATATATTATTAAAGTGGAGAAATATCCCTTTACTGTTGTACCACCACCGTGATTCCGTCAGGATTTTTCAGAGGAACGTAAACGTAGGGACGCACGTCGTGGTGTATTTTCTATGCAACGCATGCGAGCGCTATTTAAATACACACAATCGAAAGTGGAAGTAATTAGTACGTTCGCTGGCGAGTCTCATTGTGGCGCAGACGTTAGCATACCCGCTAGCTCGTCGTCTTCGAGGAATTTTACCCTAGTCGATGGAGAGTTCGGCAAACAATGTCGACTATTCCTAACTTGTAGCCAGGAATTGGACGAGGTCCGTGTGTGCTGATCATACAAGCCAAAGTACTTGCACACGGAGTTCACGCGGGACGGGTTTCCTTTACGAATTCATAGCGGGGAAAAGTACTTTACTTTTCCGTTTCTCGCGACTCGAGACCGCAAACCAAACCTCGTCCCGTCGTTGACGCAACTCGAAAATGCTTATCGCTTCAAAGTTACCTCCATCTTTTAATATTCTCTTATCAAGGTGATCGAATCTTGTTCATTGCACTGCTGTCGCCAACGTTCCTTTTGCAATGTTATGACACGCTCGTTAAGCTTTCTAGCGAATGTCTTCGTTCCAGTAACGCGCACGTTTAGTCTTCCGTAGACGGCGTTAATTAAAAGTCCTCGCAAGAATTTTCCTCGCAACGCGTCTCATTAATACGACGTTCCGGGAATACTGATACCACCGACCATCATCCATTAAAAAAGAGACGCGTGCACGCGGTCTTGCGTTACACATGGAGCATAGTTATGGCTGTGATTACGCGTGCCACGGGGAAAAAAAGAAACAATCTCGGGGACGAATCCTGACGGTTCTCGGGGGCCCCCAAGGTCCCCTGCGTCCGTCCGCTGGAATTTTACGCTGCGATTTTTGTGAAAGTACGCCTCACGGCGCATCCGTTGCACTCGTGCACCGTGATTGATATCTGCAACGTGACGTTTTTATTCCCAAAGAAATTGCGAAACTTCGTCATCGTGTAATTGTGTATTTTTAAACGTTCCCCTTTCTTTTCCTTAAATAGAATGTTGCTTCGACTTTGCATAATAATCTCTTTTCTTTACATTTATTAAAGGGTTGATTAAAATTGCTGTATTAGATTCGTGTAAGTAATTTATTGGAAACATGGAACAATAATATAATATTTGCAAAGAAACGTACCCCATTCGATGGCATATAAGCGAGGAATACTATAGCAATTTCTTGTGTTTATGTCTTAGCATCGAAACGTTAAAACAAGAATTGTAATTATTAATTTTCTATCTTTCATTTGGTAAATATTCAACAATTATTGTGTACTTGAGCCATGAAAAATGTGATGCAGGAACGTGTGTAAAACGAACGTACCCCATTCGATGGCATATAAGCGGGGACTACTTGTAGCAGTGTCTTGAATTTTCGTCTAACGTATTTCTTTTTACGGGTATGTTACAGGCGGCATGTGCTGGTCTTCTATCAGCAACGGTCGCTGCAAGGAATTGTTGTCGCGACAAGTGACAAAGGAAAATTGTTGCGCGTCGAACGCAGCTGCAGCGACCGCGTACTCCGAGGAAGACCTCGATAGCGGAAAGATCTTCTTCTGGGGCGTACTCGGAGGAGGTGTGCAGTGCCGTCCTTGCAGAGGTAATTGATCAAATTCATACGACAACTACGTTCTTACGTTTCGAATCGTCCTTCTTGTGAATCTTGTGACTCTATTGTCGTTAATTTATTCGTTAACGCGTTGACTAAAACGAGACACCGAAGAATATGAATTCTGGAATAGTTATTAGACCACGGAATTCTTTCCTCGTCTTTTGTGTGTCTCGTTGCGCACAGGCGGGCATAAATCAGATTGATTCACTGTTTTATTGACGTACACGACCGTTTTACAAATTTCTCCCCGTTTATTCGTATTCCACGGAGTGCAGTAACAGTTTCGCATAACGAACTATTTAGGAGAAGGATTGTTAGATTCCAGGAACGCAGAAGAGTTCCAGAAACTAATTGAATATGTTATCGTGACTGAAACTGTGACTTGTTTACGTGTTATTTTAGTAGCCTCGAACTCGAATTGCGAATATTTATTTCTACCAGCATGAAAAGGAACCACGATATTACACGTTTCACAGATACTTGAATATTTTTAAAAATATTTTAGAGTAATGTCGATGGTATTTGTCGACAGAAAGCTGCACGGAGGTGAGGTGCGAGGAGGGGAAGAAGTGCGTGGTGCGCAGGGGAAGGCCAAGGTGCGTGTGCAACCCCGAGTGCAAGGCGCCAAGAGGTGGTGGTCCGGTTTGCGGGACCGACGGGAAGAGTTACAAAAATCTGTGCAGGCTGAAGAAACGGGCCTGCAAGAAGGGAAGCCACGAGCTAGCGGTCGCCTATAAGGGCCACTGCCAAAGTGAGTATGTATGAACGAGATAGAATCATTATCACGACCGCAATTGCAATTGAATCGCCGACGAGTGGGCCATTTCGGATTGATTGCGCTTCGGGGAATCCGAAGAAACGTCGCGAGGGAATTAACCCAAGACTGGTTGGACGATTGACTGTCCCGCGAAACAGAGGGATGACGTGAGCTGGACGCGGAACAAATTAAACGCTAGATCAACTCGTTACCGGGGACCGTCAGCTGCGAAATTAATGCGAAAAGAATACTGATCTGCTGGACGATTCTGGAAACTGGGGCAAACCGCGGCTCTATTCCGAACGGAGATGGAAAGAATCAAATGAATAGCAAGTTAAACTTGGCATCTTCTAAAATGGATACTTTAAAGTTAAGGTTCCACGTCTTGACCTCCTGGTTTTTTCTTTGTTCAATCGTTAACGTGGAAATTCAAAGTAGTTTCTTCTTCATAATTGTTACACAACTTGAAAATGTAAGAAGAGTAATATTAACATCTGCTGGAATAAACGTCCTATTCGTTTAGATGATAACTTTGGTTCGTTCCAGTATCTAGACTCACCTTCTTTCACGAGTTTTAGGTTTTCATTACCATTTTACCAGTCGAGGGTTAAACACGATATTCTTTTTATTTTTGGGTGCAATTTAAAATTGTCTAATCATACAGAAATAATACTTTGTTAGTTTTCGTTCTTCTCTTAAGAAAACGGTAATGCAAAGTGCATTCGCGGGTAGTGAAAATCCACGATGGAATTCTCGAAAGCATTCAAATGCAAATATTGTTTTAAGTACACATAATTTCTGTCTCACTATTTTCCTCCTGAAAAAGTAACTTCTAAATTCGATTGATTGTTTGACATTTTTGAATGTTAGACCTTTTCGTTTAGCAATTTGAAAATGATCTATACGAACTAGATCGCTACTTATAATATTCATTCATTCATAGATAATAATTTGTAAATAACGTCCGAGCAGAAAACTATTTCCAAAATCGGTAGAAAATAATTACCAAACTTTTCCCTTTGTACATTGACATAAATAATAATATTTCTATCTAATTCTTCTAGTCCATTCTTACACGAACAAACTAAAAGCATACGAATGCCGCACAAACGCTCGATCGCTTCCGACTTCTCCGACAGTTCGTTCCTTCTCCAAATCTCGCCAAAACGTTTCTTTCAACCGATACAAATATGTTTATTAATTTGGACATATCTGGAATAAAACATAAATTAATTAATTTACAATATCGGTATAAAATTGGGACCTTTACGTATCGTCTAATTTGATTAGTTGCGCGCGCAATAGAGCACATGTAATTCAGCGTAAGTAGAAACAGTGGGTAGTGGGCAGACATACCAGACTACTTCGATCGCGCGCGCATCCGACGAATCTTCAAACTCAATTATCTCGAAAACAAAGTCCCCAATCAAAACATTTCGTTCCTCATTTTTGATTTGTTTTTTCAAAATTTGTTTAGTGAAATGCAATCAATTTTTCAAATTCTTAAATTGCTACTGACTGATGAAACAGTCTCTGTTATTTCTGTAACTGGGATAATATTTCTCTTAATATATTTCTCTATTTACCGTTTGAATTTAATTTGACCAAATACTGTAGTGCAATATTCCTACGATCTAAAAAGTAGTCTACGGATCATCAAAGTTATTTCTTTCATTCCCAAAGAAAACTTTCATTTAATTTAAATTTCTCATATCTTCGATCGTATCAGAAAAATTGCTCTTCATTTTCATCTCGATTTTGCACGACGAATAAAATTTGCGAACGTCCAGTTGGATTTCTCGGGGAAGGGACGAGCGTGGCGACCGGAAGCGCGGGATCTCGCGGTGAAAATCGAGCGCGAATGCAAAAAAAAAAAGACACACACACAAGAAGGAGAGGGAAGGCGTCGCATCTATCACGGGGGCGGTTTACGACTGTGCGTAATAACGTGTAAAGTGTCGAGCAGGTTCGTGCGCACGGGTCCGGTGCGGCCAAGGCCGGAGCTGCCTGTTGGACCAGAACCTGAGCCCGCACTGCGTGAAGTGCGCCCGCAGGTGCCCACAGCCGCCCCCGCAACAGCGAGCCGCCGCACGCCCCGTTTGCGGGGCCGACGGAAACACCTACAAGAGTGCCTGCCACCTGCGACTTGCCGCCTGCCGCGCAGGTCGCGCCATTCCCGTCGCCTATAAGGGCCACTGCAAACGTGAGTTCTCCTTTTATTCTTGCTTTCTTTCCTCGTCTTTGCTTTGTCCCCCCTTCTCCGCGCTCCCTTTCCCCTCCTCGCGCTCTCTTTCTTTCTCTTTCTCGCGTTTTCCCTCAGCCCCCTTTTGACTTTACGAGCCGTTGTTCCCCTGCCTCGGTCTTCCTCTTCCCCGTTCTGCCCCTTCTCTAGCCACTGTTTGCCTTTCCTTGGGTTTCTCTTTGGCCTCTCTTTAGCCTCTCTTTGCATTCTCCTTAGCTGTTTTTTAGTCGGTTTTTCAGCGCAGCGGTGCACAACTCGCGACGCCGTAACCCCGGTCGAATAAACCCGCGGAGAAATCGTAAATATCGAGCGCCGTGGGCCGTTGAGTTGCTGATACTGGGATTGTGTTTCGACTCGCGTGTGTGTCTGTGCGTGCGTACGTTTGCGGGGGAGGGGAGTTGCAGTCGGTCCTCGTTTCGAAGGATCCGCGAGGTAGGGGTGGAAAAGACGGAAGGGAGCGTCCGTTGATTGATCGACGACCGACGTTTCGACGCTTTTTCTTCGTGTTCGGAATTTTTACGCGCTTTTCTTTATGTGACATCGGGGTCCGGGGACGTATTTCTAATCTCGACACGTTCGACGCCGCGTCGGTCAACCGGTGACCGTCAATGAACTTTTTCATTTGCCTCACGTCGGCCAATGGCGAACGTCGTTGTTGATTTTTATTCAAATATTTATAACGCGCGAACGTTGGTAGAAACGAGCTACCGAACGATTATTTTTATTGCCATCGATGGAAGAGGCAAAGTCTGTTTGTTTGCGTGCAAGCTTTTATAAAGAAAACCTTTTTTTTACGCTAAACATAGGGTTGTTCGTTACTAGACAAAATCAGCTTTCTGTGTTCTCAAGAAACAATTTTAAATGTGTCAAATGAGTCTAACAAACTCGTCACAAATTACAGCAAACGTTTTATTTCAACTATTTTCCGTATACTATTCTCTGTCTTCGCACAATCGTATCGTTATGTTCTGAGAATCGGTGCAATTTTTAAACTGCTAGTCCCTCGTAGAGAAGTCCACGTTTTTCCAACGCATTTTGTGCTTTCTTTCGAAGGCACTACCTGTTGCTCCTCGCGTGAAAGAGCGATTAAACGAAGGAAAACGGGTGCAAAATATAGGGTGGCTTTTGTGAAGATAGAATCGGTGAATACAAAGCTCCGACGTGTAAAACAAAGGCACTTCGATCCGACAAACCCGTCAGATTAAAAAACAAACGTTTCGTCGATCGATGCAAATTAATTATCTATCTAAAAATTTTGAAAAATTTGCCTTTTTCGCCTCGTATTTATCGCAGAAAATTCACTGGACGAGGTACCCGAGAATTATTTTTATTAATTGTTTTTAACGCGAATAGAAAGGATTGCAGTCTCGATAGAAAAAGGAGGTCGAAAGTTTACGGTAAACATTTCGCGAAACCGTGGATTTTGTTATTCCCTGCGGACTTTCTTGTTTGGGCATAACTCCGCGCGGTGACTTTATGGCACCTGTCAGAAGAATTCGGCACTGTGCAAACCAGACAACAATAAGGTACATTCCGATGCAAAACAGCAACAGTCTGGCTACTCGCCTGCTCACCAATGAAGTGAACTTTCCCTCCCCACCTTCCCTTTTTTTTATTCTTTCCCCTCGACTACGTCCTTCACCCTTTCCTGTTCGCCTTTCTTCCATCGTGCTTCCTTTTCTCGCGGTCGGGCAACGAAGGAAACGTTATCGAAACAAATTCGACAATGCTACGCACGGTTTACTTTTAAAAACTACTCGACATTAGCCATATTTAGAAACGAATCCTCGCTCGTACAGTCGGAAACAAAAATGACTCTGTACCCCATAACAATACAGCGAATATTAACACGAATTCTTAATATCATCTATTACACATATTTTAATTTTTAATTATAATCGACGAGAACTCGTGAAACTCGGCTCGAGCAACTGAAACTTCAGGAAAGTAGCAATTTCACGAATCTTCGTCTTCCGCGAATGAAGAATGAGATCTTCCTTCTCGGAAAATACATTCCCCTGGATTCTTTTCTGCCAGTTCCTAGCCCCGTTGATGCTTCGACCGTTGCATTATCCTTTTTCCAGGGATAACAGATCTCGGTCGTGCACATATTCCGCGAACAGCCTTGTGCCTCTTACGAACTCGCTTTCGTGGTCTTTGCCTTTTCCAGGCGTTCTTCGCCTCCGTTGCCTGCGAACGATCTCGTCGCTTTCCTATCGAGGGAAATATCGTGAAAGTCCGCGGAAGAAAACGAGGGACAATCGTAAAACAGTTTGTCCACGGTCCGTGACAACAAAGTTAGGTGTATACGCGCCTAAATAATTAGCAATGTACTCTTTTGTACGCAAACCCCTTTCGGATCGTAAGATGATGCCCCAGGGGATGACGGCACCTACTTTAGAAGACACTGGATGATAGAGTCTCGCGAAAATCCGTTAATTGGCCGACCGTCTGGGCGTCTGCAGACGGGGAAACAAACAAACAGACGGACACGACGCAGCTAATAAGCCGTCCTCGCGAGTTTTTTTAAGCGATGGTGTATCGCAGAAGGCACGATTTTCGTCGGTACTCCTCGCCCGGTGTCCGACATTGCGTGGATTCAAGAAGAAAAGGAGAGAAAGAAACAAAAGCGAAGGACCAAAAAAAGACACATCAGGAGGCAATCACAAGATCGTTCCAGGAAGTTCATCGACCGAGACGCGATCTGCCTGGGCTGTGAGGGAGAGCAAAAAATTATAAAAAGAAGCAGGACAGACAGAGCGAGGGACAGACGATGGAAGGAAAGAGTCCGAGAGGGGGTGAGAACCGGGGGGTTCGAGGAGGGGAGGGAGAAAGAAGTGTCGTTTTCTGCGTATTCCCTCGGAGAAGTCGTAATAAAGCCTGTAACTTTGAGCGCAAGATCCGCGATTGCTGGAGCGGTTGGCAGTTTCTTCTCCAATATGGCGTCAATATCCCCTCGAAAAACGGTCACGCGATCCCGCTCCAATCGTCTCGCCCGATAATTGTCCGAGATGTCTCTAACTCGACTGTTACGGGCACTAGAATTTTCGTGGAGCAACCATGGACGCGGATCGATCGTTTAAGTCCTTGGATTCTTATTCCCACGAGACTCTGGACATTTTTACAGGGTCCTTTTGCGAAGTTTTCCTTGGAAACTGATCGTTTTCTCGATTAGCAATTTTGTGGTCGTCGTACAATGTATCGAAGCAGTGTATAAACATTGAATCAAAAACTCGTTAGGGCAATCAGCGCGAAAAAGTAAAAGGAAAACGGCGCGAGCATGTAACGAGTATATAACTCGAGGCCGTTTGAGGATAATCCGCGGTTTCGTCGTTGATTTACGGCGCGTGGAATGCCAAGGACGTGTAAGCCACGTTTTTCCTGTAATATCGGGTCACTCTATATTTAATGTCGTTCCTTATCTCGCTTACAGAAACAAACACGTCTCGTTTATGTTGCAACTCCTCGTGAATGTTTTAAGTACGCGTTATTTTCTGAGACACTGGTCTGTTAACCCTAATTCTCGATACGACGGAAATTTTTTAGGCTCGAGTACATCAGAGTTTTATTAATATTCATATCAAGTACCTACTCGATAAAAAAAACAATTTACGTTGCATTTGTGGACTTTATTCTCGATCTAATGTAATATTCCCTTGTACTACTTTCGTTGGGGAGGCTTGATAATTAACATGTGTGCTTTATTATAGCTCACACCTGATGCATGCTAAATTTAGTAGCCCACGTATATAAGATATGGGAACGTGGTTTCTATTACATACTGATGTATGGATAAACTGCTGTTTCGCTTATTGTTTTTAGATTAGTATCCTGACCTATTAACAATGTATATTTTATTAATTAGAATTTTTAAATATTCTTCATCAAATTACGCGTTGTTTGCCTTTTCAAACATTAAAATCCTCCAATCTATTCGCGAGTTATAATGTTTCAAAGATACGCATGAAATTTCAGGAGAACATTCCTGGTCATTGGTCAGACATTATACTTTCGGTAAGGAATTTTTTTCTCGAAAATCCGTAGGATTTCGGGGGTATGTCTATTCACCAAAAATTATTGTATTTGACCCCCTTAACTAAAAATAATTTTTCCAGAACGATTTGAAATTTTTTAATTTTGCCGGAAAATTTCTGTACTTACTGAATTTTTTTCTCGAAAGTGGATAGGATTTCAGGGATATGTCTATTGACCAAAAATGATTGCAATCGTCCATCGCAGTTAAAAATAATTTTTTCAGAACGATTCGAAAATTTTTAATTTCGTCAAAAAATGAGTCCTTCTACTGAATTTTTTTCTCGAAAGTGGATAGGATTTCGGGGGTACGTGTATTCACCAAAAATGATTGCAATTGACTCCCGCAGCTAGAAATAATTTTTCCAGTATGAGAAGTCGTTAACGTGATAAATAATTACCAAATTTCATCCGTGAGCGATTTCCTCGCGGCTAACCAACGTTCTCTTGAACGACGCCGCGACGGTCTAATTACCGTCGGTCTTCCGGTTCGTTCGCCGGTCGCACGTTAGTCCTTCCGGCGGCGGAAGCGGCACGGACGCGAAACTAGTAGCCACGCGTGCATAGTTATCGCGAAATAATAGGAGTCGCCGAGGCGCGGAAAAGGGTTGACACGCGCGCGCGTGCACGCGAGCGTGCGCGTCGCTGCGCTCGAACGTGTGTTAGGGCGTGTCCTTGTGGCGTCCTTGCCCTCCGGTCGTTCACCGTACGCACGTACGGGCGGACGCACGCACGCACGCACGCACGCACGCTGCAGAACGCGCCCACGCAACGCGTGCACGTTTGGAACCCGGTACACGCGGTCTTTTACGTTTACGACACTTACGGGCCCTCGCCCTCCCCCTCTCCTCCGAGCCGCTTCGACTAAAAATAACTCCCGGCCCGAGGAATTCGGCGTGCATCGATCAGCATTTCGCCGCCGTCCTCGC